ACCTCTCACCTGCCTGCCTGCCTGATTGCCCCTAACCGCTTCTGCCTACCAGCCTGATCACCCCGTAACCACTCCCCTGCCAGCCCAATCGATGCCTAACTGCTCCCCTGCTGGCCCAATCACCCCCAACTTCCCTCCCCTGCCAGCCTAGTCGCCTCCAACTGCCCTCCCCTGCCGGCCCAGTTGCCCCTAACTTCCCTCCCCTGCAGGCCTGGTCCCCCCACAACTGCCCTCCCCTACAGGCCTGGTTGCCCCCAACTGCCCTCCCCTGCTGGCCTGATTGCCCACAACTGCCCTCCCCTGCCGGCCATCTTAAAGGAATGTGATGTTTCTAAATAAACATATAGCCAAAACATAACAGTCAAAGTATCATAAAACCGTATGACAAGGGTGGGGAATCCTTTCTCTGCTAAGAGCCATTTGGACATTTATAACATTATTCACAGTCCATACAAAATTATCAAGTTAAAAGTTAGCTGCTATATATGGTGAAACATTTAATTAATTCATCCCTAATGCTTTGGCAGGGCAAGACCAAATGATTTCACAGACCTTATACGGCCCATGGGCCGGACGTTCCCCACCCCTGTTGTATAATAATGCACACAATAAAGAAAGACTGAAAGATTGAACAGTACATAAGCATATATAGTAAACAATATCCCTCTTGCTCCTGCCTTCCCATCCACACTTGCTTCCCCAGTGCCTAGTTTACTTGGTAACTATCAGTCTACAAAGGTCAATATTATGATAATGGCCAGCTACCATTTATTGAAAGGAGATTATACCAGGAATATAGTTTTCCTTTACATACACATTATCCCAAATCGTCATCATTCTAAAAACTATCATTTTATGGATGAGAAAACAGAAGTTAAAAGGTAAAGCCTGTAAATGCCATATATCACCATTCTTGGTGTGCTTTGGAAGTTAAGCTTTGGCAATGCTTCATTCCATCCTTACCTCTAGCTGGAATCCATACTGCAGAACAACGTTTTTTAGATCCTCATAGCTCAATTCTATGGAAAGTTCATTTGCCAAATTTTCGAAGTGGTAGAGCAGAGGACCTATGGTTTAAAGATACTATGAATGAATTTACTTTAATATAAACATATACTAGCAGCTATGTTCCAAGTTGAATAAGTTGGGTAATTTATAAAAAGAAGAATTAAAGAATATTTACATTTGCCAAAGACATGTTTCCAGAGCCCTGAAACCTTGGCCCTGAAACCATGACCCCTGAAAACTGACATCTGAGTGCTGGGCCTATATTACGGGAGTAGGTGCCTCTAGTATACCAGCCTTATGTTGTGATTTTCCACATCGTGGACCTTACACCTGTAACTCTTATGTTACTGAAGGATTAGCTGAATTAGAGAATGATAAGTCCCCAAATTCCAAAGGCATACTGCAATTATAATTCCATATATAAATGCAAAATGATAGCTACAAATTGGTTATCACATGAAAGCAAAAGGGATCCTTAAGCCAGCAGGTGGTTGGGGGTAGAGGGTAGTGAGGAGAGCAGGAGGCAAGGCTATCTGGAATGAAGGGATGACACTAAGCTGTTTTTTAAAAATGCACAGCTCATATCCTAGCTCTAACACTAATTAATTCCGATTGGCAAGTCACTAATTCTGCCCCATTTGTTACATGACTTTAATGTGAGATAATATGTAAAATACATAGCATATAAAAGACACTAAGTAAATGATAGCTATTACAAACTTCTTAAAACCTTCTATTCTCTCATTCTACATATCCAAGAAACTAGTCATAAATAAAAAGAAGCTATCATCTAATTTTCCAATCTTTTCATCTGTAATTTTCCCTAATCCATCAGTCTCATCCAGCCAAAATTTATCATTCTACAGTTATACTTCAGGACTAATCTAGACAATCTTCTCCTTACCTTTCATTGGGTTATTTATAAATCCGTGACAAACTCACAACACCCATCCCTTTTTTACTCCTCACACAATGTGCTTAATCACAGAAAGTAAACATAACAAACAGGACAAAGTTTCTGCTCCCAAAAGGCTCACCACTCTGTAGAACATACTTAGGGTTAACAAGTTTTTATTTTTCTCCCCTCTTTCTATCCTATATAAACAACTAGACAAAAGTGACTACATATAATTTATTAGTGGTCTTTCAAAATACATTTCCCAATTAAATTACTCCATCAAGCTTAAATTCCTGTTAGTTTTATTAGTACTAGTAAAAATGTCAGTAGCATGAGTCATTTACTGAGCACTTGCTGTATCCTAGGCCATTGGGAAGCCTTTGAAGTCCCGCCCCTGCACCAAGGATATTTTTTCCATTGAGAGCGGGGGAAGGGAGAGAGGAAGAAACATTGATGTGAGAGAGACACATCGATTGGTTGCCTTCCACATGTGCCCTGATTGGGGCCAGGGAATAAACCTGTAATCCAGGTACATGCCCTTGACCAGGAATTGAACCTGCGACCCTTCGGTCCACAGGCTGATGCCCTAACCACTTAGCAACACAGTCCAGGGCCTTTGAAGCCTTTTAATAAGAACGTAGAGCCTCATGGCAGTCTTTCCAGCTCTAAAGTATATGCTGTTCCTGCTCTATTTTAAAGGCCTCCAACAATACTGTTTCACTATATCCACATGAAAACATTCCAGTAATTCTTACATACTCAGGCCATGTTTTACCTCTACTCATGCTCCGTTCTACCTAGAAAGCTCCATCTCAAGCTTTAGCTATGCATTTCCTTGAGACTGAGAAGTTTTCCATATTTATTATCTAGTCACTCGCTCCTTAAATGAACATTTACTAAGCACCTAGCAAATGCCTGGCACTGGGTATCTATCTATATACAGACAGTCCTCGGGTTACATTGGACTTGACGTACGTTGTTTCGCGGTTACGTAGCCGTCTCCCATCTATATATATATAAACGACCAGTTGACCAGTTGCTATGATGTGCACTGACCATCAGGGGGCAGATGCTCAACACAGGAGCTGCCCCCTGGTGGTTAGTGCACTCCCACAGCGGGAGCACTGCTCAGCCAGAAGCCGGGCTCACGGCTGGTGAGTGCAGCTGTGCAGCGAGAGCCTTTCCCACCTCCGTGGCAGTGCTACAAAGCGGCGAGCGGCAGGAGCAGGCGCAACAGGGCTGAGATGAGTGGGAGTGGCGTGGTGCCTGGCCTGGCTTGGGCTCCTCCCTGACCGCCTGCTGCTTCATGCACTGCTACATCCCCCGAGGGCTCCCGGATTGCAAGAGGGTGCAGTCCAGGCTGAGGGACCCCAACCAGTGCACAAACCGTGCACTGGGCCTCTAGTTTATTTATAAAAAAAAAAGTTCTGTCATTTCGACATATGTACATATGTGCTTTATGTTTTTTATTATTTATTTACCACAAGTAAAGGTCAGGGATTGTTATCTTTCTTTTAAATTTTTTTTACTGTTTCACTTCATTACTGCTGTGTATGTGCTCCATGTGAGTGACGTAGGTGGGTTCCGACTTATGGCGAAAATCGCATTATGTCACGCCATAGGAACAGATCTCTGACGTAACCCGAGGACCTACTGTATATAAAAGGCTAAGTGTCCATCCGACCAGTAGCTATGACATGCACTGTCCACTAGGGGCAGACGCTCAACGCAGGAGCCATGACGTGCACTGGCCATTTAAGAATAAATGGCACCATGGACCTGGCTCCGACAAACCAACACTTGGCTTCCCCCAAGTGGGACACAGGCCCTGCTATCACCCTGGAGCGAAACCCCACCAAATCGCAGCCAACGCTGCCAAGACCCTATGGTGCAAAATGCGGCCCACAGCTTAGCCCAGAAACAGTGGCTCTGGGTGCTGGGTAATGATGTCACGTAGCAACTCCAGCTTCCTCTCCCTAGCGACTAGCCTCCTTGGAGTTTCTTCAGCTCAGGAACCCGACTTGCTTTATAGCCTGATGCAAACATTTTACAGTTTAATCAAATGTTTGTGAAGTGTTTTCCCATGCCTCATCTCATTTGATCCTCACAGAAGTCCTGGAGTAGGCAGATAGGAGACTTGGTAGAATCCTATTTTCTTTTCATTAGCAAGATGCAAATAGAAATATTAAAATATTTCTCCTAATTAATTTCCTTTCAATGTGCACGAATCCATGCACTGTGACACTAGTATAAAGATGAATAAATCACGGGGTTACTCCTTAAGGAGTTATTTTCTCAACTCTCATGTCTTTTCACATTCTTTTAGTTGACCTAACAGGAACAAAGAAACATTTTTTCCCTTGACCATAAATATAATGCAAGTTCATAATAAAAAGCTGAGATAACATGAAAATCAAACCCATCTCTAATCCTAATACTGACAAATACCTGCTTGAAAACTTACTGTATCTCCTTGCAGTTTTTCCTTGATGCATTAGTAAGAGCCATTTGGATATCACATATTTAGTTTTGCATCTTACCCTTCTTTAGAAACATGTCCCTATTTTATTAACCATTTATGGAAAATGGTTTTATTATATGGCTGTCCTATGACTATTTACCCATTTCATTACTGTAGGCTCAGTCTAAGTTTTTGCTGAGTATGTTTGTCCTTTAATCAGTCTTTAGTCTTTGCCCATATCTTATTAGTTCCTCTAACAGACTTCTACAAGTATAAGTAATATAACAAAGGTGTGCAATAGTGAATGCAATTATGTAATAAGCTGGATGGCAAATATTTTAGGTTCTGTGGGCACATACAGTCTCAATCACATATCATTATTTTTATCTCCACCCCTCCCACAAACCTTTACAAATGTGAAAAATAATCTTACTGCTGGACCATACAAAAATGTGCTGTAGGTCAGATTTGGCCTGTAGGCTGTAATTTGCCGATCTCTATTCAAATGTGTGAATAGTTAGGATTTTTCCATATGTTATCAAATAGTTTTTCCTGAAGAACGCTTTATTACTATATTCCTACTAGCAATATATCTAAGCATACCCTATCTCTCTGTATTTTATCTAAATTTTAAGTAAAAATTAAAAACCTACCTAATAAAATTGGTGGAAAATGGAATCTCATTTATATTACTGTGACCAGCAATGAAGATAAAACACTTCTCCCCTTTACATAGGCCATTTATGTTTACTCGTTTATAACGTGGACATTTATGTAGTCTAGTTCACTTCTGGGTAGTTTTCTCTTAAAGACTTTTTCCTCCCTTTCCAATTAAAAAGAAAAAATAGATTTCATTGTAAAAAAATAAAAATAAAAAAAATATAAAGGAACTTTTACTTCCTGTAAAGGCAGGTTAGGTTATTCAGACCAATGCTGCCACTGAAAACAATTAAAATTGGTGTATGAAATTTAAAATCTTAAAAATATACAATACTTGGCAAGTTGTAAGAAATTAGGAGGAACCCAGAGAATTAACTAGAGGTAAACCTAGATGCCATTTTTACCCTGACAGTTAAAAGAAAAAAGAAGTGATTAAAATATATGGAAGCTAGAATAAGAGATTTAGAAGTATTTGTGGTGCATCCAATTTGGACATAGTGGTTTGGCACATAAGACATTTGATTGCATTTTCAAAAGGAAAGAAAAAGAATGAGGCAGAGTAGTTATATGAAGAAATTGTAACTGTTAACTTATTTTGGTGCTAATCTTGTCTCAAATGGCAAGAGGAGAGACCCTTTTAAGCTGAGAATTTTTCAGAACTGATGAAAGAAGTCCATTTACAGATTCAAATAACCCAACAAATTGTATACAGGTTTGAAAAAGAAAAATTCACACCTAGATATAATATTGAGTCTGAAAAACTACAAAGAAAAAGTCTTATAAAACAAAATTGATTACCTTTAAAGAAGCTACAGTTAAGATAGCTGAATTCTCAACAGCAAAAACAGAAGCTAAAAGCTATTGAAATGATCTATTCCATATGTTGAAAGGTATCTGTCAGCCTTATACTCGATACCAAGTGTTGCTTTGGAACTAAAGGTTTCAATCAGTATGAACTCAAGATCTTTATAGACATAGACAGACCCATACATATATTTCCTACCCCTACCTGCTGAAAAGGCCTAGAAGTAATATTATCATAGTGATAGAATCTAGATTTTCATCATCATCATTCCTCACTAAAAGGAACCAGGAATCCTTGGCGGGGGTGAGGGGGATTCCTGGGGGAAGGCCGATCTCAGGGCTCGGCAGAGAAAGTACAAGATGAGCTTGGTTCCTAAGTGTTCACTGATGGATGAGCAGATAAAATGTTGTATATGCTGTATATACAATGAAATATTATTCAGCCATAAAAGAGAATGAAATCTTGCCACTTGCTACAGTATGGATGGGTTTTGTGAGTATTATGCTAAGTAAAATAAGTCAGAAAGACAAATACTATATGATCTTCCTTATCTGTGGAATCTTAAAAAAACAAAAAGGAACAAGTTCACAAACACAGAAAACAGACTGATGATTGCCAGAGGTGGGGGTGGGCAAAATGCGTAATAGGAGTTAAAGGTTCAAACTTGCAGTTATAAAATAAGTCATGGGGATA